AGATTTCTGTGATTACTGGTCCTTTGATTGGTGGATAGCAATAACACATAACAAAAGTTTTGAACAATTTTTAAAAATAACAGAATGAAGAGTACCGCAATTTGGGAAGATTATCGCATTGAAGAAACAAAATTATATGTATTTTTTTTTCAGGCTCTCTGGTAAATTTGGACTTCCAGATAATCAAAGAATCATAGACCCAAAGAAAGGTCCCGTCAAGAAAACAGCGGTTGTCAGAAAGTTACCAAAATTATTGAATAATGCTTCAGTTAGAAACAATAAGTCTTCGAGTGGCAGTAGGTGACGCCGCTCTCCTGGGGTGACTAACCTTGGGAGTAAACTATAGTTTATAAATCATTTGAAAGTCTATATAGACATTAAGACCTTCATGGCAGGAACAATGGCATACAATCTTTAGCATTAAATGCAATATATTATGCATACTGTAAAGAGGTCTATACGTCAAAAACTATTATGAGATATGTACATAGAGCATACTTTTTAAACATTTATTTATGCTGTGAGCAATAAAAGTATTATATTTTTGTATAAGTGAATGCTGCGATGTTTACTTTTCGGTTACGAAAAGAGAGTATAGAAAATGCTAAAACATTGAGCCTATCAATCTCGATCTTCGATAGAAGTCATAGAACTCTTACTGTATGATAGCTATGTTTGTGATGTTACTCTGAGTGTATATCCACACCGGGCGAGCTTGAAAAATATGCCCGGCCACGGTGGGAATCGAACCTGCGACCTTTGGAATGCTAGCCCAATGCTCTGCCAACTGAGCTACGTGGTCAGGTCGGTTCGAGTAAGTGATATTTCGGAACAGAATCCAGTTCCTTCGATACCAATGTAATCTTGTAATATGACTTTTTTTTCTGTGCTGGTGTTGTGTACTCAGGTAAATATGATATGTTTGTGATGTCACTCTGAGTGTATATCCACACCGGGCGAGCTTGAAAAATATGCCCGGCCACGGTGGGAATCGAACCTACGACCTTTGGAATACTAGCCCATTTCAAAGGTCGTAGGTTCGATTCCCACCGTGACCGGGCATATTTTTCAAGCTCGCCCGGTGTGGATATACACTCAGAGTAACATCACAAACATATCATATTCACCTGAGTACACAACAGAAAAAAAATATAAAAAATAAATCACTCTTACTGTATGTTTCGAAGTACAAGATTAATGTGTACTCCTTCCTGGCCCAGATTGGGTTTATCATGTACAGTGCATATAGAAGCTGTCGACAGTCTTACAATCCAGACTGCAGTTTTGGTCACTGCATTCCTCCATATTTTTCAAAGGAAAAACTCATCAGATACCTGCGGAGGAAGCAAACAACCCTCAAGCTACATTTTTTGTTTTCGTTGAACTTCAAACAGAAAAACGCACCATTCATAGAAATGTTCTTTGTCGCGGATATTCATATCTTCGTGTTCTGCATGATTAACTTCTTTTGAAATCGATTGTTTTTATGGTATGTGAACACGAATATATGAATATTCGCCCCCAATTATCGAGCTGGCGGCGCCACTGCATGACTCGAGTTCACAGAAGAACTGTATATTGTATAAAATAATTATAATAAATTATGTTGTATTTTTACACAAGTCTTTTGTGTTTTTTCGGACTAAATTTATTTTAATTTCGCTTATTTCTTTATCAGTATAACTTCCACAAAACGGCTAGCCGCCATTTTGCAAATTTCGGATTTGTTATATTCACCAACAGGTGAATATGACAGCTTAATAGGCTACGTCAAATTTGACCAACCAACTTGTAGGATTTGTTATGTTCACTTGTGCAAAAATACTAATATACGATAAAGCTTGCAAATCAACTACAACGCTTTCTTTATTTGCTATAACACAAACGTTCTAGTATATAGTCATAATAAGAACTGCATGGCTAGTCTTGCAGCTTGATTTTTGATATTCTGCTGGTTATATCAGCAGCAAGATCTTCTTGCTTGACTTTAGTCTAAAAGAGAACGAGGATAAGATTATGTACTACAACTTTATTCAGTTTTTTGACATATTAGTTATATTTTCTAATTATATATTAAGTAATTATTTTCGTTATATTAGCCAGAATTTAAAGCGACATGACAATTAACATTCCTTCTTATAATCTTATACTGATGTCATTTTAACCCTATAAAAATGATACATGTAAGATTTTACTGAAAACAATTAACTGTCCGCCTGCTTTGATTAATGTTTGATCTCAATAGATACTATTCCAATTTTTATCCTGGCCACACACCCCTGTTGAGGAACCTTGGAATTCCAGAGGAAGGGGATGATTTTCAACCACTGACCCGCATTTTTAACCTTGGAAATTCCTAGCAGGGGGTAAAAAATCAAGTTCCTCAATGTGGGATGATGTGAATATAAAACAGGAATAGCCCATTGGCCAATTTATTTGAGAAGTTTCTGCTTCCGCCATTTTCTTGCAGTATATTTCCCGCTCTGCGCCGGCGATTCAAAATGACGGAATGCTTAGACTGTTACTTAGTATAAATGAGTAAATAAATACTAATAGTGTTGGGGATTTTTTACAAATTAGAATTATGGTCAATAGCTAGTTTTATTTCACATCAATCATTCCATTTTAAAGTCTAGTGGTGGTTAAAATTTCAAAATCGTGAATCCGTGAGATTTGAAAATATTTCCGTCAGTCCGTGAGATAATGCCTGAATTCGTGAGTCACACGGGAAATCCGTGAGTTGGCAGGTCTGAGAATTGTCAAGCCGAGTTTGTGTTATCAACGAAGCTGCAGTCTCAGGTCAGCTATACACAGTTGGCTGTTAGCCAATCAGAAATCATGAACTTTTTTAAATAATAATTAACAATTATTCACCGAAGTCGAGGTGAATAGTGCAATTAAGGATATTCATCGAAACGCGAAGCGTTGAGGTGAATATCCTTGCACTATTCACCGACAATTATGTCGGTGAATAACGCGATTTGGGTACGATGTAAACAACACTAGCAAAATTTGTCGCGGCATTTGGGCTGCATGTACAATTTAGAGCCAAAACCGAAACCTTAAGTGGCTTCTTGCCCCAACTTCCACCCAAGTATTCCTTTCACAAGGAGAACCATCCTCATGTTTTGTTCTCAGATCATGACCACAATCACATGCTCAACCCCATGTATGTTCGTGCGCGAAACACATGCAAGGATAAAACAAAAAATTCTAAATCGTGAGACGTCTACCTCTTGTCTGGACTTCATATCCCTGAGAGTCACAACTCCTTCTTTCAACTCACTCTCTCCAATTATAGCACAGAACGGGATTTCATTATCTTCACAAAACTGGAATTGACTTAACATTTTCGGATTTTTCTTGTACAGAATTTCAGCCTGAAAAAAATTGAGAAAGTCCAATAAGTGTAGATTTTCCTAATACTGTCAAATACATAAAAAGATTAGATGCTTGATGAACTCTTCGTTAATTAATTAAACAGCTCGAGCCCGATTTAAGGTGTTATACACGAGGCAATTTTTGCTGCAATTTGCACGTAACAACGTCAATAACGTTGCGTGTCCAAACTTTTCCCGCCTTACAGATAGGATGCCAGTAGATGTACATGTACAGCAAGTTTAGCACCAACCTGATACTCATGCAGGTTTTTCACTTCCGCTACCTACCTGCAGCGGGTTTCGGGAGGTAGCGGAAGTGAAAACCCTGAGTATCAGGTTGGTTTAGCGCATATACAAGTTATATATTTCAAATTAACTAAAAGGAAAAACTAACCTGAATTCCATCTTCCCAAAGTTTAGAAACTAATTTCATTCGTTGTTCTAGAAAGTTTTTTTGTCCAGATGCTACCAATACACATGTCTTAGTTGTTCTTTGTTTTGACCCAGAAGCCTGCCGAGCACATATATTCATTAGATATACATATATAAAACAAGCCAATGGGGTTCCACAAATTTTTAGCAGGCGGTCTTAAGGGATCGGGGTTGAGGCCCCCTCAAAACTGCAGATTTCTATGGTTTATTGTTACAATGAGTTAAATTAAGTTGGAACACAGGATTTCAAATTTCTGTAAATAATTTTTGACAAAGATAAAAGAATAACAACATAATTTCAGATATTTTAATACCTTAAAAGATTTAAAAATCGACAACAAAGCAGTTTTTAATTAGTCCAGTTTCACTTTGGGTTGCCAAAAAAGCAGTGTAATGGCGGCAATTATAAGTATCACTCTGTCAACATTGTAAGTGTTTAGTATAGGTAAACAACGTTTTAAGACAAACTAGAGAAGGGTAGTATATTATTTTACATCAAAACCTTAGCATGCAAGGTCACATAATTATTTGTAGTCTTTTTTTACAGGGAAAAGAGTTATTTACGTCAGGAACCAATAAAAATACTGTTTTGCAGATGACCTTATAATAACAGATACCGTATTTACTCGTTTGAGCGCCGCGGCGCTCTTTAAATTTTCAGAGCTTCAGATGCGGCGCTCATTCGGGGGCGGCGCTCTTTAAAAAAACTTTTATTTGTGAATTATAAGAACTTTTAAAATAAAATAAACAAGTTTTAAATGTCTTTGTCACTAAATGTCCCCATTTTGACGGGCAGAAAGTTTTTACACTATTTAGTGCGGTGCTCATTCGGGGGCGGCGCTCGAACGAGTAAATACGGTATACGCACTTGTATGCGAATTAAGCCAGTTTTTCACTTCAATCGTACCGAAACGTAGCGCATTTCTTTGTTTCCTGTGCGGTAGTGTGGAACTAATACCTTCGACACAAAAGAAAATGCTACGGTACTTTACGATATGGTTGAAGTGGAAAACAGGCTTAAAGGGTATGAACAAGCATTTCTTATAAAAAAGTCTCTTTCATTTGAAAGAACTCGTCAAATGGTAATGGAGCATATATTACAAATCTTTCGTATCTTTCTTCGTTTCTGAGATGTTTCAATGTGTTTGATGCAAATTAGACGTCACAAGCTGGGTACAGAATTTAAAAACATTAAAATATCAGATAAATCCAGTTGATTGCTCAACATGTCACGTTAGTCACATCATCATGGATAATAAAATACATGGATAGGAAACTAGCTGACGTGACCTAATGTTTTCAATGGGATGATGGCGTTGAAACCTAGTTCTCAAAAACGGCATGTTTAGCGATAATACAGCTAAACATTTTAGTCAAAGAGCAAATAAATATAACTAGGCCATTCTACGATGAAATCTCTAAGTATTCCCAGTCAATTTTAGCAAATATTTCAAGCACTAAACAGTGAAAAATGCATCGCAAATTTCGTTAAAATTGGCGACGCCAATTTCGTAGCTACAAATGTTAAAAAATACAAGACAAAGACATTTACCTTGAATACTTTGTCGTGGCTTAGGCATGTTTTTAAAACAATCAGACCAGTTTATGCTTCAATATTACTCTTTTAAAGCGGAAAATATAGCGAAACAACAAAAATGCTGAGAACTTTGGCAATACACGTGACGTCACAGATTGCAACTAGGTTTAGATTGTGACGTCAGCTAGTTTCCTATCCAGTTATTTTACAATCCATGGTCACATGAAGAGTTTTCATATACACAATGTCAAGTAAGTAGTAGAAATAACTTGCAGAATGTAGCTGATATTTTAATGTTTTTAAATTTTGTACCCAGCTTGTGACGTCATAATTTGCATATCAAACACATTGAAATATTTCGATAACGAAGAAAGATACGAAAGATTTGTAATATGTGTTCCATTACCATTTCACAAGCTCTTTTAGATAAAAGAAAATTTTATTGCAAGAAATTTTGGTTGCTCATACCCTTTAACTTGTAACAAATATTACAATATTCTCAACAAAACTGTTTTATCCATGCAAAGGAAATATTTTAAAACTACAAAAACAATTGCCAATTTTTGGCCGAATGGCAGTTGTTTTTGTATTTTTAAAATATTTTTCTTTTCGCTGAAGTCTTAAAATTTCCACACCAAATAGCAATTTTCAAAAGCTTCAGTTTGATATATAGCCCAACGTTTGGGATCAAGTATTTCTGCTCATAACTCAGAAAAACTATTTTGGCTTCAGCAAATCATAGGCTTTAATATAGGTTCACTGAATTAAGTTCACTCCAATAACCGGTGAATTATTCATACTTTGACACTTATCTACTATATAACAAAACACCTATTTACTGAGACCTCGGGAAAGCAGTGTGTTTTGTTGCCCCTCGACTGCCGTTGTTGCCCTCGGTTTTGCCTCGGGCAACAACGGCAGTTTTGGGTCCACAAAACATACTGTTCCCCTCGGTCTCAGTAAACAAGCGATAATTATTATATGGCAAGCACTAGTTTTGATGAATCGCGCAATTTGATTGGCTGCTGACGAGACAGAATTTTCCCGTATTGCCCACGGGCAATAGGCAATTCCAGCTTTTAGTTTATGCATGCATGCAGGGGGTGATGGGAAGTAAGGTATCATATTGCTGATTATGTTAAAAAAATAAAAATGGCAGCAGTTTTTATTGAAATTTTTCAGCATAATCAGGAATATGATACCTTACTTCCCATCACCCCCTGCAGGCATAAATTAAAAGCTGGAATTGCCTATTCCCAATTTTTATTTCCCTGCGACGAGAGCCGAGTTTCAAACGGCAAAAAGTGTCTAAAAGTCTTTCAACTTATTCAAAACGAAGAAAAATAAACCTAAAATAAAGAAAAGGAGCAACTGCTGTGGTTAAAGAATTTCCTCAATACGTTTTTGTTAAAGTCAAAATTACAAGGTAAATTTTACAATGTTTATAACTATTAAAACAGTCAGGAATAGTTTTGTTTTGACTATGTGAAGAGCTGCAAATTTTATTTGCAGATAACCAGGAGGAATTTGACACCATCCTAAATAAAAAATACAACTAAGGCAGCTACAAATTTATAATTTTTCTCTGAAAATTTCTGTTTTTGTTAGATAAAAAGAGACATAAACATGCATGAGATGAAGCGAACAAAAAACGTACTTGTCCATACTGTTTATTAATTTTATTGTTTTCATATTTGTTGTTTTTGATTAAATGACGAAATATCTCGTATTTTTCTTGAAATACTATCCAAACTTTGTTAGTATTCTATATAAAAAGTGCTGTACAGTAGTTTTAGTTTTACTAACCAAGAGAACATTTTTTACAATTGTGTTTTTTGCAAATGTTTCAGACTTTGTACTTTGACCTCGCGTGGCCTTTTTTCCCATTTTTGCAAACGTACAATGCCATATAATAAAAAAATTACTGACCTCAACCGTTCGGGCAGTACGGGAAAATATCCAACCTCGGTCTTGCTGTATTGACCTCGCTATCGCTTGGTCAATACAGCAAGACCGAGGTTGGATACTTTCCGGTACTGCCCTCACTCTCGGTCAGTAAGTTATTAATCTTAATACTTACCTTCGCTTTAGCTTCTAGGATGGCAAATATTCGTTCTATTCCTATGCTGACACCCACACAGGGAACCTGAACATAAGTTGGAACATTTCACAATTATTTAAGGGGCTATTACACAATGCAACTTCTCTCGCAACTTGCCTCGCAGTGTTGCTGCGACATAAGTTGCACGCGAAATCGCAAGATATAACATGCCTCACAGTCATCGAGTCTTGGAACATTTTTGTCGCAACAAGCACTGCACAAAGTAGAATCAGGTTCAACAATTGTTCAATCAGGCTCAATAATTGTTCGCAACGATTGCAGCAAGGCAGCAACGCATTTTCAAAGCATTGCACATGCAGTGTAACATCCTTTTGCAAGTTTTTTCGCACTGTTTACTCATTGAATGGATTTGCATATTGACTCTTGGCTGTTTTTACCGTTTTTACCCTATTTTTAACCATGATCATTGCAAGTAGCATGGAACATATTGGTTGGTGTATAACATCACTTGCAATGCAATGCTGAAATCGCGAGACATTGCAAAACAAGCCACATAGCGTAACAGCGCCTTTACTATACTTTAGACTTGTTTAAAGTTCTTCTCGCAAACGAATTTTCATGCCCAAGAGGGCTTAACTGTACACGGTATATAAGAGAAAGAGTGATAGACAAAAAGTGTAAGAGAATACAGTTAATTCAAGCAACCTATAAACCGCAAAATTTTGTACTGCAAACAACAAAATTGACTCTCTCTATACTTCTCTTAATGTTTCTGTTTGTTCGTAGCATTTTCCAAAATAACTCCTACTGTAGAATACATAGGAGTTCTATATACAATAGAACTTTAATTGTCATGGCGTGGTACATTACAGATAGTCAGAGAACAATAATTGAATGTAATCACTCCTCTGATGATTGCCTAAAGGCATGAAACACCGTGTAACGATAGTTGTTAAATTTTAGAAACCAAATACATATTGTTTTACTGCGTCACGGATAACCTCCATTCGTAATTGAATTAGCTGTAACCCAACCCACCTTCCTTCCTTTGGCAGCAAACATTCCAACCAGATCGTCGTATCGTCCACCACCAGCAACTGAACCAACACCGCAAGCGTCACCTGGAGGTGAGAATAAAATATGTGATATGTTTTGGAAAATGTTTCGTTGAAATTTTGATTGTGAGAGCGTATGTATGTTTTCTGCATGTTTTCAACTAAGTTGCTCTCAAAAGCATGTAACAATCTATAATATTCTACTGGGTAATTGTTAGAAAATAGCTTTAATATATTTTACCAGGTATATAAACGATTTTACAGGACCAATAGACGATTATACAGTAATAACAACTATAGTGTGTAAAAATTACAATAACAGTGTGTACAAAACATACCCACTTCATTCTTAGTTATACTTTCTGGTTCCAAAATTGCTTCGTAAATAACGCCAGTATAGTAATCTAGACCACGAGCTAAACTCATATCGAAGGAAACCTAGATAACATATCAACATAAACACAGAATTGTGATGAACACGAAATTAATCGGGACAGATTAGCCTTTCTCACGCTGCCATTTTTGGGTTTTCAGTCAGCGACTTTTTATAATTTTTTGGACGAATGATGGTAAATTTGCTTTGTAAATGGTTAGTTTATTTTGAAAAATTGCTTTTCACATTGTTTTAATTGTCTGCATTGGTTAACGAGAATTAGATGCCACCCAAAAATGGCGGATATTCGCCATCGTGAGAAAGGCTAATTTAATAATTTATTCATACACGGAGATACGAGACTCTGCAAAAACGTGTGAATTGATGCTCATGCATGCAACTCGTATTCTTGTATTGGAAGTTTCGGCATGGCATGAAAATTCTGCAAAATTTGTGACAACTTTGTGTTAGTATGGGTAGCTTTGGAGTCAGCTGCACTCCAAAATTTACTTTTCAGAATAATTTTGAGATATAGATACCAGAAGACCCCATACTATACCCATACTAACATAAGGTTGTCAGAAATGTTGCGAAATCTTCAGTTTGGTAGACATTTCAGAACTGTGCACCTTTTTTATACGCCCTGTATTGCATAGTCTAAGCGAAGAGTGTGAATGATCAGCCACTGAGTGGAAAATGATCTGCTAGCGCATAGTAAGCCTAAAGTAAAAGCTAGTAACTAGCAGAAGCTTAGCCACTTGTTAGAGAACAGGAAAATCCAACAAAGTAGTGCATGGTTAAGCCTCTAGTAAAAGCTGGTACCCATACAAGAAGCTTAACAAACTGTCAGACAACAAGGAAATCCCACACACTAAGATCTATAAATACTTAATAACGTATCCAGCAAACACACATACATTCAACAACATACTATACCTTATCGAGAATACCAAACAGTTCACAATATGTTAATAAGAGGTTCATATCTTCAATACCAGCTTTTCCACTCTTATTGTTTCCTAATTTCTCATCAGCTGCCATTTTATTCAGTAGCTCAAATCCACCATGATGCTGAACATATCCACCTATTGCATCAGCAACACTAGGATCCAGATCTTTTTCATCAATCATCTCGGAACGTACGTCTTCCCATTTCATCTAAACATTACACATCAAATAATAATTAAAATACAACTGTATTCATACACATTCATAATTATAAACTTTCAGACGAAGAGGCTTTGCTCGAAAACGTCAAACTTTTGTTTTCCTTACCAAAACCTCGACAGTATAATATACCTTATCCAGTTTATCAACAGCTGATGAAATTGATCTGAATTTCTCTGCAGGAACACCACATACTTCAAACATTCCATCCAGTATTTTTCGGTGGTTTACCTACAGTTACAGACCTTTATTAAACGAGGCATCATTTAGTGGTTGCTTTTTCGGTAATCAAACTTATTCAGGTAAATCAATTCACCATAGGTTATAATAATAATTGGGTCCTGAATTACCTTAGTTAAAAATTAGAATTACGATATTAAAATGCATGTAGGATACAGTTATTAAGTTAAGTGAGTCAGTTAACTATGGTAATATTAAAGTGAAATTTAGAGTTACAATTATACTAAAATACATGTGTTGTCAGTAACGTAAAAATATAGCACGACTTGGTGCTTCACAGATTGTTCCAATTTGTTTCAGAATTCGATTTAAGTATGTTCTTCTTATAGCTAGTATCATGATAATGAAAACACGTCGTATTCTCTTTGTAATCGAAATTATGTAAAAACAGATTATGTAAGGACATAAAAACATTTATACATAAAAACTATACCTCTGGAACGGAATGAAGCAGAAAACATAGATGTTTTAAACCGGTAAGCTTTTATTATATAGTACATGTACCATACCTTTATCGTGAAGTCTCCAAGTTTTAAATTAGTTAATATTTCCGCAACTATTTTAACACATTCTGCATCTGGTATCATCGCATCATACTGTCCAGCAATATCGATATCCTGAAAACATAACATATTCAACATATCAACAGTATAATTTTTATTCAATCAAGTCTACACTAAGTCAAAACATGGAAAATACCATGATGATGTTCCAAGAGAGGCCACATGTTCTCCAGGGGAAGGAACATTAATATACCCTCGTTACCGTCAGTATATATATATCATAGGCCTGCCACATGCACACGGACCGATCTGTGTACCTATTATGGTACGGTTTACTCTAGGAATCATCGAACAATTTTCAAGTATATTAGTATAGCTCTATACAGTCTAGTTTACGCTTTTTGCTCACCAATTTATAGTTTTTCATGAACAGCATGAATCGTGCTACAACGGTCACCTGATGTCCCAAACACATTTTTAGTCAATTAGCATTTCTCACGCCATGCGACCAGGCCTTGTCCAATATTTGCTGGTGGCAAACCTCACAATGAAAATAGTCCGCCACAAGCGAAGGAGTGAATTTAGTGAAGTATAGAAACATAGTACTATTATTTATATGTTTACTTCTCTAAATCACTCATTTGCTTTTTGTCATCTTTTATTGCTGCGCGGTTTGCTACCCAAAAATGGTGGACAAAGCCTTGTCACGTGGTGTGAGAAAGGCTAATTGATAAACGGTAGTTGCTAGAAGGGATGGAAGAGAGGGAGGTTTTCAAGATGGCGGGTGTTTAACACCAAGTCAGTTTCGTCAGACAGTTCTCGCAAATCCTTCAAAACTCAGAATTTACCTACGCAAAATTCCTACCGTGATCTAAACCTACACATTGGTAAAATTCTCTGAATCTTCCTTTCGTCATAGCAGGATTATCTCTGCGGTAAACTTTGGCTATATGATATCTTTTGATTTTATCTATTTTATTCATTGCAACATATCTCGCAAAAGGAACCTGTTGTCAACGTTAAGGCAACAATAGTACATCAAAAACATTCGAATAACTTTCAAAATGTCCTAACCGGGAATCACAGGATATCATTTCTGGTGGAGTCCGCCCACACATCCCACATGCAAATTGCAATCATACACATAAAGCTCAGTGTACATGCAGATTAGATATACCGCATTGAGTGAAAAATAATTGATATTTCTGAATGTGTGAATGGGGCATCCCAATATACCAGAGAGTTCCACATACAGCCCTTTTGTGTTTACCTGAAAATCCTTCAGTCAGCGGCATTTCGAGTTAACGTACTACTTCGCTATCTACAGTGCTTTGGCAAAAATAATCCAGGAATTGAAATTTCCTTGCTAAAATTAGTCTATATAGTATGGGGAAAATTCCACGTTATTTAGACCGATGGCTCATGAGTTGACACGAATTTGCTACTTGTAGTAAGACTCATGATAAAAGGATACAGTTAAATCATATCTTAAAGACAGAAGCTCCCCTCCTTGATCCGCCAAGTCATAAATAAGTTTGGAGTCTTCTCCATATTTTCCTGTCAATGTTTCCTAAAAATAGCAAGACGTTTAAACAAGTAAAGTTATATTGCTATACGTAGAATAAAATATGCTATGGGGTTATTTGTGTGCACCTTCGTGTGTATAATGGGTCAACAATACGACTTTATGACCGACCTACCGGAACTAACCGACTTTAAGATAAAATAACAACATCAAAACAATGATGTATAAGATAACAAAAATTTAAAAAAAAAGTATCCCATCATTCTCTGTGAGTCGGCCAAACATGATCTGAGAGTCAATGTAAAACATATACATCATATGCAATATTAGTCCTAAGTCCATGCATGCACATACATGTACATACAATGGCACCCAGATTATCAAATCTAGAAAGTCCAAATTAGCCTATAAAAGTTCGTGTCTATGCAAAAAATATTAAATGTGTGTATATCGTCATCACAAAGGACAACTGCTGCAGTAATGCTATTGTTATAACAATGTTAGAGCACTAGAAATCAGACAAAGTATTCTTTTCTTTATCCGACGAAGGGCACTCTATTACTTTTCGCCACTTTTTAAATCACAGATTCATTTCATTGTTGTGAGCATTAATACTATATCGCTACTCACATCATCTGCAATTGGATAAAAATAAGTGGCCCGCCCTAAAACAAGCATTACAACTATTTCCCTTAATTGAAAAGTAATGTATATTAAAATTTGTACCACCTAAGTTTCTTTGTAATCCTCTTTCAAAGAAACAATTTTATTGTGATACTAATGTGCTGTTGATTCATTTAGGCTAACGACTTCTATATTGTTAAGCTTTATAAATTAACTACAGTGTAACAGTATACAAAACGTGTATAATGAAATGGTAATGAGTTTTTTTAAGCCGTCCAGTTCACAAGTTTGGATAACTCCCATGCCTGCAGTTCACGGCAGCAGAGAATGTCTACACGCCCAGTTAATAATTACTACACAGAAAATGTACGCTCTCTCCTCCACAGAGGCTTTTCAAGGATTAATTTCGTAATTGCGCTACAACGTGCGAGGAGGAAGTGGTGGAGAGAAGGGAAAACGCGAAATGCCCGCGCACCGAAGAACATATATGCATATTAACTAGTGTAGCTATTAATTGAATACTAGAAAAAATTCTAATTCTCTCACGTCACGCTGGGCCTACAACAATGTACCCTGGATTCCAGAGCCTTCGACAGTAAATAATAAATTGAAATGTCGCGAAGGCTCTGGTTCAACGGGGCGATTCTTTGATTAAGCCGCGCCAATCACAAAACAGAATTAGTGGTTTTAGTACAGAATCTGTACTAAAACCACTAATTCTGTTTTGTGATTGGCGCGGCTTAATCAAAGAATCGCCCCGTTGAACCAGAGCCTTCGCGACATTTCAATTTATTATTTACTGTCGAAGGCTCTGGAATCCAGGGTAACAACAATGGGCAGTCTGGAGTATCAAGCACAGTGTGAAACAAGTCGTCGTGGCATACCTATAGCACAGGCCTCACCAGACTTAGGTTGCCGTTCTCTTTGATTTCTCTGTCACAAGACGACAGATCTGCAAATCAGCAAGAATCCTGTTTGCTTCTTTCTTGAATCCTGGCACTTTTTGGACCAATTTAGCAGGGCTCGAGATTTACGCTATTCCGTTATTCCGTATATAGTAAAATTACAGACGGAATTGTAAACTTCCAGATCTCGGTATTCTGTTTGTACAGTAGAAACAATTGTGGTTGGCATCAATTTATAACATCACTGGATAATTTTACTGTTACAACTGTTGATTTTGTAGTTGCGTTGTTGCACGTGCATGCATTTGATAGATCTTGTTGTTTGTATAAATAAGGTCTCTACTATGTTTGTTTGCTGATCTTCAGTTCATAGGTCTTGCGGCTTAGGTCACAATTGTCAGAGACACTACACACTAGCCGATGAACAGGCTCTCAAAGGCATAAATAGTGGTTCTTCAGACAGAAAAGTAAATTTCAAAATTTACAATTCCGGTTACATAGTATAAAAGCAAATTTAAACTTCGACCCTGTTTAGTACTGGACCCCCTTAAACAGCATGACATTACAGATGGAACACCGGTAATGCGAGGGGAACCCACTCTACAGCAAGTGGACAGCAATGTACTTCTTTGGCGAGAAAGACCACGTACCTACCCAAACATCTACATGGTTGACGTATTACTGTACGGAGGCATGGTCACAGTAGCTGGTAGGTCATTGATGAATAACAAAAACAAGGCAGGTCAGAGAACTGTCTCTTGCGGAACTCCAGACATGCAGGGTTGGCTACCAGCACAATGATGAACAATTAACGAAACGGTTAATTTGCATTGCAGAGACAATACATAATATTACCTTCAATTCAAACACTGGAGTATCAATACTTTCAGCTCCATGTTTTTGAAAACATTTGATAATTTCTTCAAAGACATGTTCTCTAATGGCCATTTGTTTGGGGATATAATCTCTTGTACCCTAAAAAATGACGAAGCCAACAACTCTTTATGGATTTTCTATCATTACGGAACGTACACTGAGAAGCTGATGTGTCTCGTATGCAATACGAGGCAGCCTCCTATTCTTGATGTTGTATATATATATATATATAAGGATATTATCTGTTACTGAATAGTCTGAATTATATCATGCAGTATATATACTGTGATTATCTGAATACTTTTAAAATGCTATTAACGAGTTGTGGATAATCAGGTGCATGATTTCTCATATTACCATACTGAAACGACAAAAGATTGCAAGGACTAAGGGCGCTTTCCATTGACACGGACAGACCGGTCAGAACGGTCAAATTTTTTATTGGAACACAAACCACTTGGGCTTCGGACCTATCTGACCGGAAAATTTAGATAACATTAGAATGAGATCCATTTTCGCTACATGCTTGAGAAACATAGACTAGATCTTTCCATTGATATCAGAGAAAAGAATTCGGGTCTGACCGGTCAGGCCATTAAATGGAAAGCGCCCTAAGAATAGAGATGTTAATAAGCAAATTGACCTAGATGTTCAGCCATTCACTTCATTTCTATTTACCTTTGGAGTTTTAAGTACAAACTTTTGCGGTCCATCAGCATGGGACTTACTTCTCACTGCCGATAGATTTGCGTCTGATTTACTCTACAAAACGATAGTATACTGTATAAACTCGCATGCTGTCGACCAAATTCTCATGTAACTTTGGATGAATGTCTAATGGGAAAGGCTCACTGCATCTTATTAATGCATGGGTAAATAACATCGAAAGATAATTAAGTACATGGATTCATCCTTTAATAAATCACTGAAAATTTAATAACGAATTCCCACAATACTACATTTAATTAGAAAGCCCAAATTAGCCTTAATTAATGTAGCCTATAAAAGTTCGTAAAAATATTAAATGTGTGTATATCGTCATCACAAAGGGCAACTGCTGCAGTAATGCTATTGTTTAACAATGTTAGAGCACTAGAAATCAGACAAAGTATTCTTTTCTTTATCCAGCACAGGATACTCTATTACTTTTGGCCACTTTTTAAATCACAGATTCATTGTTGTGAGCATTAATACTAAACCACTATCTATACTCACATCATCTGCAATCAGATAAAAATAAGTGGCCCGTCTGTAAAACAAGCATTACAACCATTTCCCTCATTTTGGTCTAGAGCATTCAAATTCTCTTTGATGAACTTTCGCAACTTTGGATGAATGTCTAATGGGAAAGGCTCACTGCATCTTATTAATGAGTAAATAATACCAAAAGATAAGTATAGATTCTTCCTTTAATAAATCACTGAAAATGTAATAACGAATTCCCCACAATACTACATTTAATTTGAGCGAAAAGTTCAATTTATACGCTTTGGAAAATATCTAGTGAATAAACATCGTTCAAACATAGTGCTGACAAAGCACATGCACGTTCTATATGCAACAACCAAATTGCTACAAGCAATTAAAAACGTGATGTGCTTAATGTTGCTTTTTAATGTTGAGTGATGTGCTTTAAAAGCGTGATGTGCTTAATGTTGTTATCTCATGAGAAAGACCGGATAAATATGAACGAAGATAAATATGAACAAATCCTACATGTATTTCTAGGAAGGTGCATGAATAATTTATATCATGCTGTTAGGGCATATTTTATAGATTTCCATATCAAGGTGGCTCCCTAAAATTTTCTAAAGGTGGAAGATTTACGATTTGACTAATACAAAGCTATATCCAAATATTTAAAAATACAACCCTTGCATGTAAACGCACTCTGGCACAATGACGTGTTCTATATGGCGGTTATTTGGGGTTTAAAGTAATTTAACTCAAAATAACGACAGTGCATGACCCCATTTGTTACTGTCATGCAAAAAAATATCATTTCTTGTATGTTCTTGGACCAAAAGACAGAGAATAAAAAATATTTCACAACTTGTATTTTTGTGAATAAATTTAAGATTGATGTCTGCATGACTGCCGAATGTTGACTATTTCTTTCAAACATGCTTACACATTTGTGGAGACTGTATTTCTGTGTTTTAAATATGAAAATATTACGGTGGGGAATGGCCCATACACATATGTCCTCCAACATGCGCATGTTACTCATATTCTCACTCGTATTTAATTCACATGCAAAGCTGCATGGAACGTCTGACTTATATTTGCATGCATGAGTACACCTCTGTCTTAACTTGTTTTAGACTGCAAACACTACTACAGTATTCTGCTTGCTTAATTTCTGCCTGTTCTGCATTTGGTGTCTATAACATATTTTCATTGGTTATTGCCTACCATGTCAATAGTGCATGCATGTAACAAAATTTTATCAAGAGAGCAATTCACCAATAAACCTTTTTCATAATGACGTCCAACGCGGAAAAACAATTTATTCGTTGCCCAGCCAATCAAATTTTATTTAACACATTTGCATTCAGAATTATATAGTCAATTATCAAATAAATCTCACTTCGTAGACCTATACAGTAATTACGGTTTGCATAAAATTACTGAATAATTACAGTTATACGCGTGAGGAATGTGCCAATATTTGTCATCTTATGCAACGCTATAAATGAAAAACCAAAATACTGATGTGTCTTGCCCAAGTTAGAATTGCATTTAAAGTAACAATACTGTATTCCATGAACTTTGCACATAAACGGATTTTTGAAAGTTACTAACCTCAAATTGTGACGAATATCTTAAAATACAACATGTATAACTTCTTAGTTTCAGAAATGAGCGCGCAGTGCAAAATTTCTGAATATTCATCTCTCAGTCTAAGAAACAGAGGGCAAGAAAGGTCCAAGTCAGCTCAAGAATATGATTTCATTTTAATACGGTATTTTTAACAGGCAAGTTGTCTCCGACCCGAGTTCGCGTTATCGATTTTTCATCTCCATATTTGGCAGAATGGACCCCAAGTCTTCATGCTCAAATTAGTCTACACCGAAAATGTTGTGATGTTTGGACATTCAGGACGCGAGTTATGGCGTTTTGAAAATTTTGTTTCCGCTGCAGTGAACCCAAACATCATGAAATTTCGGAATAAACTGTTTTGAGCTTCAAAAATCTCAAAAATTGATGACGTCCACTCGGACCGGAGAATCACGAAAACCATATACATGGTATACTGTGCCTGGTGAAAATGAAATATACGTTTATCCCAAAATATTGTTACTTCATTTGCTATACTGTCTACTTAACAAAACTTTAGTGTTGAATATTGAATTAGTTACATGCTAGCGACGAGCCAGGTATTTTTTCTTCATCATGTATCACTCATTTCTTAAAATTCAATGTACTATATATTCGTTATATAAATTTATTTTCCACTTAATCATATGCACAGGCTAGGGAAATGTTTTCTCAATGACTTTTCAATTGTCAGAGCAAATAGACTGCCACTTCCTTGAAATGATAACAATGTCACACACCTTCTGAAAGTGTTCAATCATTCTGTGCTATGATAGTTGGAGCGATAAAGCTTTGACTGTGTAAAATGTTAAAGCTAACAGTAACGATACGCGAAATACAATGATAAAAGCGAAAGACAAAAATTCGATTTTTTTAAAGAACAAGGCACTTGTGTAGTGGATATAAGGCACTAACTTATGCTATGGCCTATGCAGCTCATATAATTCAATGCTTTACACTCAGTAGTAAATTTCCCCAAGAATATATTTAGTTAGTTACGTATTTGTAAAACTTAGTTAAAAGGATACCACTAATCAGTTGATTAATTAACATCAACTGATTTTGACTGATAAAAATTTTAATTAAGAAAGCCACGTAGACTTCTACTGTATGTGCATCAAGGCCTGTTAGATGATGTTGGAGCAACATGTTGGCTTTGTTTGAACACTATGATAGGTCATGTTGTCCGATCAGGTTTGACTTTGTTTAATACAACATTGTGCAACATTGCAAACAAGAGCAAATTAGTATTGGGTGCTAGAACACTGGAAGCAGGAGGTCCAGATTTTTTCAGTCAAAGCAGCCCGAGGCTGGAGTTGTTCAAAATGGCAAAAATATAACAGTAAAGACAAACACAAAATCAGTCACCTGAAGTAGGCACCTGCAAACTGCTCAATTACTGTAACTATAACATCTGACGAGTTTTATTTGTCAAGTATATCTGTTTAAGTTTTTGTTCAAGGCAAATCATTTACACCCATTTTCAAGATTACATGTACAGTACTTGGCCAACCTAAAAATAATCTTAGTCAACATGTGACAGAGGTGTACAAACTTAACACTTGCCCGGGGCAATTGAATATCATGACGGGCAAGTAAACGTTTTATCTGCTTGCCCCATTGGGCTAGTTGCCTTGCCACAAAAAGCTGGGCATCTTTAACTTTATGTTTTCATTGTCGGATAAATGTTTTATCGGATAAATGTTTTATATAGTGCATGTACTTGATTCAATTTTTTTTGTGGGTCAAAGGTAGATCTGAGGCATTATAACATAGCCATATAGAGCCGCACTGGGAGAACTGGTCGACAAGTTTTCCCCTTAATTTATACCCCCTACCTAGGTACCCCAGTGGCCATTGTCTGATGGCAACTAAGTGAATTTTATTCAGGGCAACATCAACTGCAAATGTTTTTGTTCAATTATGTTTTTTTTGTTTCCCCTACGCTTGCTGTGTTCACAAAGCAAAGTCACAATTTCCTAGTAAAATGCATGCATTTGTTTCCCTTCTGCTTGCTTGTATTGTTAAAAATACATGTAATTATCTTGTTATTCTCAGTAAATATATTTATTATTAACATGACAAAATTACTGGATGCTGATTGGTTGAGAGGAGTACAATTACTTCATTAATTGTACTGCAGTACAATTAATGATTTTCCCAAAACAAATAAAATGGCGGAAAGGTATTTTAAACACAATTGCGACATGAAATTGCCGTGGAGGAACTAGATAAAAATACGAACAAAAGCACCAAATTTTGGTTGAAAGTCTGGCAGGACTGGGCTTTGGCGAGAGAATACGATGTTGACATTGAGAAGTACGTATCCAATTTTGTCAGGCTAATAATAAACAAGTAATCATGCGATGTTGCTCGTACAATTAGGGATTAATAGTACTTGTGATGTTTGGAAATTTGCCAAATTGGACTAGCCCGGCGGCTCGTCCAATTTTGGCAAAATTTCCAAACATCACTCGTACTATTAATCCCTAATTGTACTCGCCATTGCATGATTACCTATACCAACGTTTGTCAATTTGTGCCGATAACACTGTAACAAGTAGAAACAAAAAGACAATAACCGACCAGGCAAAATAAATGCATGTCTTGTCAATAGACAATTTCATCTACACAAAGCAACTTGATTGGTTTAGCAACAATTAAAACAGTGAGTCATCAACTCCAAAATAATCCTGCACATGCTTATTAAATGTCCTGAGGTTGGCAATTCTTATTGAGTTCTGGCTTTTACTGAGTTCCACCTTTGGCATGTTATTGTGAATTATGTTACGTTTAACCATTTACTTTTTTCATACCAATAAAGATCAGGCTTTTAGCTGTCGAATGATACTTTTCTTGTATCATTGCAATAAAAAACAGCCAAATACAATGTGATTCACAAATGCTGCTCGCAATCGCATTAATTATTGAAATTATTCTCATAAATTTGGGATTCAAATTTAAGTAGCTTGGCACGACACATATGTAAGCATCAAGTTTTGGTAAATTTCTACTTGCGATTTGGCATTGAAATTAAGTGGTTAAAACTTTTTACAGAACTGGAAGTTTGCAGACAGGCTGAACTCGCAATGCAATACATTTCCCAAATGGGCAAGTATTTGAGCAAATGTTCGAAAATTGGAACAACATTTAAATCCAAAAAGTGAAAAAATGCAATTTCAACCAACCACTTTGAATCAGATTGAATTTGGCGGCCCTCGAAAATGAGGTCGGCATTCGGCAAATTTTTGCCAACCATAATTCAAGAATTTTTTGGCGCCGATAGCGTTAAAAAGTCAGCGATTATAGAATTCGATTCGTAGTTCGACTAATTAAACACACTTCGGTGTAAGGTTTAAAAATTGACGAGTATTCTATATATAACTTAGGTAAGACTCCAAAAGAAAGGCTGGCGTGTTACTGTAGTTTGCGTTTATGCGGAAAACGGCATGCTTTTAAATATACAAAGTGGCTATATCTACGGGTCCGTAAACAGACTTCGCCAGGCTATATTTACGGCACTCTATGTACCGAACCGGCACTATAAAGGCCTGATTCCACAAGCGCTTTTCGTCGGTGAAATGCGAAATATTTCGCGTGTTTCTTTTGAATTGCGACCACTCGAATAAATTATTTCTACTTGATTGCTCACAATTCAAAAGAAACAGGCAAAATATTTCGCATTTTGCTGACAAAAAGCGCTTGTGGAATCAGGACTTAAAGCGTATTGTTTACAAAGGATTTCAGCGAGCCCGAAAATAGCTCAGAAGGTTAGGCAAATGGCTGCTGTGTTGTAGTCCGCGGGTTCGAATCCGAGTTTGTGAAGGTTTTTTGTTCGCCTTAACAAAACATGTTTAACTTTTTTTTTCTGACTACTATTTTTTTAGGGGTTAGGATTAGAGGAAGGATTGGGGTTAGCCAGTTAGGGTTATTTTTGTTTCAATTTGACTTTAACGATAAATACAGGCCGTATGGAGACTAAGAACGAGAGTGCCGTAAATATAGCCGGGCGAAGTCTGTTTACGGGCCCGTAGATATAGCCACTTCGTTAAATATATTCCAGTTTCAATGATTCGTAAAATATACGTGATTACTAGTGCTTCTTAGTAAATATATAAATACAGCCAATGCATTGCTCATTGATCTTTTATATAGTTTTCATAATTTTATTTCACCCACTGCTGACTGCTGTTTGTGTGACTTAAATTGGTGTGCAAGCAAATTGCCACGTTCTACAAACTGAGTGAATTAACTGGTGGCGATTTGCGAAAGTAAAGGACCGATCCCAGTCTGCCTGAGTTTGGTCAAACACTGATAAAGTGACTGATCCACCACGCTATGCTAAAAATCAGAAATCACACACGCTACCCAGATATACTAGTACCTGTTGTTGCCTTCCTTCTGTCTGTGTTTCTAACTTTAAATTTCTCTCAATTTTAGCCGCCATCTTGTATTCTTGAAGATTGAGTCAGTGCATGCGCAAAAGTGAATATGCCTTGGCCCTGACCAAAATGATTGCTGGCGTGCAAATTAATCAGTGGAAAACACTTCATTTATTTACTGGTATTTACTTCTTTGGCCAATAGCTTTTGTTCAAAAAATCCAGATCTTTGTGGTGACGTTCCCACAATCGGTTTGAGAAAATAAACACTAAGATCACCGATCACGAATGTCAACCTTCACTCACAATTGTATCCGAAAAATGTCAATCAAATTGTAAATTTCCACCCCCCCCCCTCCCGCCACCCCACCCCCCCTCCAGCGACGCCCCCTGAATACTACTGTTCTATAATTTTTACTGCACTAATATTCACAACACACTCCTCCTATTTTTAAATAATCCTTATTTGAAATATAAACTGATTGACTGTTCTTTGCTATTTCAAGTCACTTACAGTCTTACTTTAGTCCATGCAAAGTTATTAAATCACTGTCCTCTCCAGGCTCCTCCATTTGCTGAATGTTCTTCACGGCTAGCTTTAACCGCAGCTCTTCGTTTTGGTCTAAACTCTCCAGTTTCTGGATTAAGTTTTCAATTCTTTACAACAATTGTGATATTACTTTCTTAACTGTGTTTATCCTAACCCACCCTGCCAATTTTTCCTGTGGGAGGAAACCGGTCTTAACCGGAGCACCCAGAGAGAAAACCCACGACTTTCGACAGAGCGTTGACTGACTCTTTTCACATGAGTCCGTAGCGAAAATCGAACCCACGAACTCAGAGGTGCGCCACCGGCCTCTCGTACCCAGGTTGTTCCCATTGAACTATAAGTTTAGTATGTCCAGGACTACAATTGATCTTTCACTTGCCTCGGTTCTTTTCACCGTCCTTGATAAGAACTACTTGAAAAGAATCTTCTTTCAATCGTGCGTTTTTAATATGTCGTGGTGTCGTAAAACGTGTGTCTCTCTCGAAGTGCTCTCATGCTATAAGGTCTGATCAAATGCGAATGCAAGTCGTCGCAAGTTTTAACCTGCGCTTGCTTGTGCCTCGTTTGATCACCAACGTCCGTGGACTGCGATCACTTGCTGTAGCTTCCCAGGGTCGCCCAGAGCTTTTTTGGGGTCCGGGGCAAAATACCCTCTTGGGAGTTTTTGGGCGCCCCTTCCACTCCCTAAACTTCCCTTTTGGGGGCCCTCTTAAGCCTGGGGCCCGGGGCAAATTGCCCCTCTGCCTCTGGGTGGCCCTGTAGCTTCCGAACGATTTCGGCTGGTTCAAACTTTATCGCAAGGTTTTTTAACTTGCGATACGTTTGAACAAAAAGCCCAAGTTCAAGAAAGCTTTTCGTGACCAATTCCCACGAAAACAATGGACAGTAGTCCTAGTCCTCTGAAGTCCTCTGTGCACACTATATATTTTCCCGCGACTGTAAACTAACGCAGCAGTCACCGAAAACTTCGTCGGAAATCGAATGGCAAGTCATGGCAAGCAAGTGTAAGTTTACTTGCAATGACTTGCATACTCGTTTGATCAGGCCTTTAGGTTTTGCGCTTCTTAAATGTTTTGCTCAAAGACGTTCGTAGATCGGTTTCTTCAATTTCTTCACTTGGCAGCTCTAATAGATAATTTGCTTCTTTGTGGTGAAGTTTTGTTTAGATTTCCACAATCGGTTTGAGAAAATAAACTCTATAATTTTTACTGTATTAACCTGATTCACAACATCTTCGAATTCGTCAGTGCATATTGGACAAGATTACAATTGAATGAATTGATACATCTGATGCATCCTCAGGTTGAAATAAAATCTTGTCTTAATTATATTGGCAGATAAGGTTGTGATACGGATCAGTCAAGATCAAAGATACTTAATTTATTCTTTGACGAAACATGAAGATGTCACAAAAATTCCCATTATGTTGGAGGGCGCTTGGACGGAAAAATAAAAGCAAATTTTACAAAATCTTAAATTGTTGAAAAATCTGCATGTTTGTTATTCTGTGTCCCACTTGACACTACATGCAGTAGACTGCACTGTCGCTGACAAAATGTTATGGTTAAATTTATACAACGAAATGTTAGCCAATAAATTTTCAGTATATTTTTTTATGTCTTGTCTGAAAGTCATTTGCTGGGAGTCATGCGGCATGTTGGGCAAAATGCTGGGCATGATCAAAAATTTTCATTATACATTTAAATGTGCATTATACTTTCTTGTCTTCAGTTCGTGCAAAAATATGCCTTGTAGTTGAGCCGAGTTTACGACATATCTCTTCGATTTAGTTAAATTTGTTAAGAGCTTTCATATATAATGACATAAAAAAGATAAAACAACAATCGCAGCCTAATATTTCCTAAACCCTAGGGCCTATAATATAGGCTATATACCGCAGTTCACCACAACACAAGTTTTCAAAATGACAAATATTTGCCTTCCGCGCAAATTCCTTTCCAATTGTTATTGACTTATTGCTGCATGCATGTATGAAAGATTATCTACGTAATTTGTGAAAGTCTAAATATCTACCACTTGGGTCTTGGTGACCATGGCCGATTATCCGTGAAATTGCTAAAGAGGATTAGGTGTGATTACAATGATTAGGTGGCTCGTCCAATCACGTCTGTGATGACGTTCCTTTGTTATGAAGTAAAAACATTTCAATAACACTTGGTAGGTATTTAATATCTGCTTACTTCCATCTCTACGCCCTTAACTGAATATTTCCCTGCTATAACAACGAGACATGAAATTCAGTTCTGAATAGATGACTTTATTCTTGAGTTTAACGTTGTAGAACATGAATCTTTTTAATCCCATCTACCAATAGGACCATCGAATTTTAGAACAGTGCCTAAATGTAGTTTAGTTGTGGCACAACTAAACTACATTTAGGCACTGTTCTAAAATTCGATGATCCTATTGGTAGATGGGATTAAAAAGATTCATGTTCTACAACGTTAAAGTCAAGAATAAAGTCATCTATTCAGAACTGAATTCAATGTCTCGTTGTCATAGCAGGGAAATACTGATTAAGTTAAGGACGTAGAGATGGAAGTGAGCAGATATTAAATGCCTACCAAGTGTTATTGAGTTGTGGCCTTGTAATGACTAACAAACACAGTTACTGTGGTATATATTCATTGCTCAGCACGCTATCCTGTGCAAGCTGTGTTGGGCAAAGATAAGTGAAATCGATTGTCACAAAGTAATAGCAAGAAAAACTACGGTATATGTGTCATGTATAATCATAAATTGAATTGTACTGTATGCGGTAATTTTATCCCAAACATCTCAGAGGGTCCTGAGGTGTAAAATGAGAACGGGGATTTTCCTATTTTTGGGCTGGCAAAAACGCTGAAAATGAGATTTTGGTTACTGGGACTGGGAATGACAGACATACACAAACAAAGGAATGGAAAAACCCATATATCATTAAAAACATACACTTTGAGTTGGAGGCAAGGAAAGCCACGGAACAAAGTTTAATTAAGAGTTTAATTTGTCTAAACCCCTTAACATATCTTGGAAGACTATACATTCTGCTATTATGTGATAGAAAATGACAGGTATTTAGGCCTACGTAGACTTTAAACCTTTTCGTTCGTGAATTTATTTCTATAAAGAGATCGAGCTCGAGAAAGTAGAATATTGTGTGTAGAATATTGTGTGAGATAGCACATGGGTGAAGGAATATTCTTTTAAGTTTACAGTTGAAACTGGGATTTGGTCAAAAAGTGGCTGTGAAATGGGATTTACCTATTTTGACCTAATTTTAACATGCAGTGACTAACTAGTTAATATATGCACGTACATACTATATTGACTGCAAAAAATCTTGGTGTGGGTCCCCTTGTGACGCACTTGTACTCATGAATCTTGGAAAGAACACTTGTCCAAATATGTTTAAGTGCATATTTTCAATCTTTTTCATCTTTTAATGGAGACACGATGCCCACAATGTATACGTATACAGTCTAGTATGAGACTTGATAATCTCGATCACTGTAGGATGAGAACGACACAGTGATTGAAATGAGTAAAGATAGTATTTGTATGCCTAGAATTAATATGTCTAATGAGCTGAAAGACCATAATATACTGATATACTCTCAGAAACTAATTAGAGAGGACAATTGAAGAAAACGGCTTAAGCTTAACAAAGAAAAGATTAAGCTTAACAAAGTTAAATCACTAGACACTAGTCAGTCTAGTACGTAAAGATGCTTGAACAAAAGATTTACCTTACTTTTGCCCTGTCTCTATGTTAGGCTGTCTATGTATCAGGCCATCAGGGGCGTGCTGACTAAGACCATGTATACATGGCGTAATTCAGTAATATAGGTTATGTTACGGATGTCCAAAAAGTGAGGGGGACGGGTCCCCCCTTCCCTGATTGACGCCTATTTACGTCATATTAAAAGTAGTTGGAAATGTAATGGATATGTACCTAAGGTTGTGTTTGAAAGAGAAAATATAGAAGTATATATCGGTTGAAGGTTGAAGGTTGTAAATGGAAGATTTTTCAATGAAAAATAATCCGGTTCAAAAAACGTCTTCCTCTAAAAAGATACGTTTTGCAGATAATTATTAAGGCTTGTAAACAATGTAAAAAGAAGAGAAGGCCCTTATAGCCCACACACCTTGATACTTAACTTTTTATACGTTTCTGTTTAAATAAAATGTCTTTTTTTGGCATGTTTGCACAATATTAAATTAACAATGCGAAAAAAATTCGCATGCCGTAGCAATATATAATATACGTAATCAAGTTTCTTCCTATTTCCTATAGTTTACTGAGATAATTAAGGCAAACTGCATCGGGGGTTTTCGTATATATGCACTTCCTCAAATTCCAAGATTTGCGAGTCCTTACTCGTATACATCACATAGGCTGAGAGTTATACATAGAGTTATACATGAATTGCATGTGATTCAGTGGTAATAGTGCATTGCACAAAGGTCCATTGCGAGTATAAGTGTTAATCTTTGAATAAGCATGCAAACGTCGCTTACGTTGC